GATGATCAGCTTCTTGCCTTCATGGTCTTGATTCTTGTCTGGTTGTGTGAACTATTTACCCTTATTAGGTATTTCTCTCTCTCTCTCTCTCTCTCTCTCTCTCTCTCTCTCTCTCTCTCTCTCTCTCTCTCTCTGTGTGTGTGTGTGGATTGTGTAAGTGATTAAGTATTTTATTAAGATAGCTAGTGTGATGGATATGTGACTCAACAATTGTTTTTGGTTCTAAACCAGTTCGGGGTTGGTTGTGTGCTGAATTCAATGAAATTTTATTACAGAAATATTGTGAGCTAGTCATTTATTGAATCATTAGTTTACTAATTTTTTTAGCTTTTGGTCATTGCGCTACTCTTCCCTTCGGAGTGCAAGTCCAGATGTAGCAAAACTAGCTTTCTATTTTTCATCAATAACCAAAATTTATTAATTGATTAATGTGATGATTGTATTTAACTAACACATGATTAATCTGACAACTTACACTGTTAGCACGTGTATCCTTAATCAATAAGGTATACAAAAGAAATAGGGGTGGGCTCTATGACTGAAGTGCAGCCTCCTATGCTAGTTAGTTAAGCTTGTAATCTGCTTGAATAGTTAATTTGTTAGGCTATGATAATAAGAGATGAAGGTAGAGGAATGGTGTTGATCAGTTTGCTTTAGGATTCCTGTGGAAGGAAGTTATGTAATCATATGTCTTCCTAACCCAAGTTCCTTGATCCTTGACCTAAGGTGATCACACTAATCAAATTTCTACATTTTTCTTTTTGTTAAAATTATGATTGGACAGCTTTCATAAAGCTTCTTTTTGGGTCTATGTACCTAGAGTAAGAGTTAGGTGCGCTGTGAAGAACATGACTCAACCCCAGTGGTCACTGATCAAAACATTTATCATCTATAACAACTAACTTAAGCATTCTCATTAAGTCCTTGAGAGGGTTTAGAATTCAGTCTATATGTTTCAAGCTTGGTAAATACAATTAATATGATTGAGCTTGATGGAATGTATTAAAATTTTGATTGTTATATTATTATTTTCATAAAACTGCTTTTTGGGTTTATTTACCAAGTCTATGGGTTGAGTAATATAGGATATAACTTTTCCTTGTAATGTACTCGTCCCTCTTTGTATATACAAAAATATACATCAGCTGAGCTTGTTACTCATTGATTTTTCATCACATCCAAATTTAAGTCTGTTGATTCTTAGGAACCAATGCAGTAGTTAACAGAGAAGAAAGCCGAGAGGATGCATATCTGATATAAGACTGAGAATGCTAACGGCTGCACTTTATTATTTTAATGCACTCAGAAATAACAGACTGAGAGATCAGGTTTCATGATTCTAGCTACTGCACTGATAGCTTAGCTGAAAAATAGGAAATAGCTAATCCTCTAACAGCTAATGAAACAGAATAAATTTCACTTATTCAAAACTGAAACAAATCTGAAAGATTCCTAAAAGTAGGCAACATCTAAAGGCTCATTCTCAATTAAGTCTCTTTAATATCTGGACCAATATCTATTATAGATGTTCATGTACATTTGTTGGGTTGTGGTCCCATAATGATGGTTATCTAATGTCTGTGTTCATTCTAACTTGCAGCGTCCGAACACCAATATCAATGAAGTTCTTTCCTCGGTTCTTTTTGCTGTATTTCCTGGTCTTCCACATATATTTCTTCTCTTACGCTTATGGTATGCCATACTGTTGTACCCTTTTTTTGGTTTTGTTGGTTTAAGTTAATTTTATTAGGAAATAATGAATTTTAAAACTTCAGGTTTTTCATATTTGGCGCTCTCTACAACTGCAGCTTTTATGCAACACCTTATCCTGTACTTTTGGAATCGATTTGAGGTAACCAGCTATGACTATTGTCTTACTACAGATCCTGATAATTTTCTTTCCGTTTGGGATTCTTAGGATTTTTTTATTTGTGGTAGAAATGGGTTAACCCCGGTTTGAAGGATAGCCTCAAGAATGGGCTAACATCATTGCCCCCATTAGATTTACCCCCAGATAGTGGTATTAAACATTTAAATGCGATGCTTATCCTCCAGATTTGTATGAAACTGTGACAATTACCTCTTCTATACTAATATTCACCATATTGTCAACGAAAGTGGAATTGGCCATATGATAAATCGCTTTTAAGGCGCCCCATAAATGCTATTTTAATATGTTGTAGTGTAGATCCACCAATAGCGAAGTTTCATTTGTAGCAATAGAAATGTGTTTTGCTGTCTGGCAATCTGTTCCCGATGAGGATTTTTTTGGTAGAGATTATGAAAACAGAGCTCACAACGGAGGCCGAAAGGAGTGAAATATTATTGGCTTGATGAATATCCTAAACGACGTTTGATGGTTTCTTGGGTTCCGCTCTCGTTATTACATCTTGGTGGTTTCTTTTTTGTCTTAAGGATACTTGATGAGGGTATAACATGACGTGGGTTCACTGCGAGGTTTGAAACAAACGTGCAAAGGAATACATTCTAGAATTAGGAAAATGAATATAATTTTCAGAGTTTAGTTCTTATCTACCATCAACATGTCTTTTATTATAGTCATCTTTATGTAAAATGATATGATTTGATCTTTTGTAAGTAGGGAAATATGTACCGCTGGTTATTAGGAATATTCTCCATTATTAGGTTTCCTCATATTATACTTTGAATTATTATAATAAGGTTTTACATATGTGATTAAGAGCTACAATTCATAACAATAGAGGAACTCTTTATGGTTATATATAGCTAGGTTTTCCTTTCCCCATTTTTTTCTTCTTCTTTTTCCTCCACGTTGCTCTGTTCATGCACATTGTTCGTTTGATAATATTCACACGGCCATTGCATGCTTTCATTCACCACCGTCAAACCCTCCTGTCTCTGACGAGCTGAAACCATCATAGTTGCCATCGCACAACGACCACCCAGTCATTGTTTTTTCGGCACTGAAATTCTACGTAATAAGAGAATGTTTGTCATTGCAATTTCAGTCTTTTCTAAACTTAGGGATTTTTCATCAAATATATGGTGCTCACACGACACAACAAAATGGCGTTGTTGAAGTTAGAAACTGCCATTTGGTGGAATAAGAAACTCAACTCACAACAGAAAAAATCTTTAGTTTCTAAATATTTGCATTATAAATTTTCTCACATTTACTTTACAGAAATTTAACTAATACTTCTTTTCTTACTATTAGGTACCGGCACTGCAAAGGTACATGCAAAATAGACGGTCACAGCCTCAACAACACCCAGATTTCCACATTACCTCTTCCACCTTTCTTGCATCAACGCTACACATCACAAGATTGAACACAAGAAACCCGGGTTCAATTAACACAGATTTGCCTGCTGGATCAGGATTGAGACCTGGTTTTGATCAATCAGTGCCTCAAAATGGAGCAGGAGTTGGCGACCCTCAAGCCCGGTCAGAAAATAATAGAGACAGGGTTGCGAACCAGGCACAAATTCCTGAGCAAGCTGACATCCGACGAGCAGAAAGGGGTCCCAACCCTGGATCCATGAATTCATTCAGTTCTTTGTTATTATGGATCTTAGGAGGTGCTTCGTCTGAGGGCCTCAACTCGTTTTTTTCCATGTTCAGAGATGTGAGAGAACAAGGACAAGTTTTCAATGAAACACCCGTTGCTGGGGATGAGAACCGTGATAATCAGGATAATAATGACAGATAGCGGTGAAGGAGAACTTGTTAATATAGGAACAATCAATGTACCTACGTCAGATCATATACTGGACTGCTTTCTGCTCGGTCCAAATGATAAAAAAACCTAAACACGTTTGTATAATATATATTTATATATATTCTTTTTCTTTATAGCTTTTTCTTTATAAAATGCTGCAAAGTTATGCGTGTTTGTAGAAACAAAAGGGAACATTTGGAAAAGTTTATTTTATCTTGTAAAAGAAATTAATAACTTTTTAAATATATTTCAATCATTTGTACGGATAAACGTGTAAATTAATTATTTTATAAAAACTTGTGGTATGAGTGTATAATACATTTTTTTATGTAAATGCATCCGAATATAAAGTTTCATTCGATAGATAAAGTCATAACATTAAAATTTATCCAAAATACTAAGGAACGGTACAGAAAATTCTAGCATACTCCTAAAATAGTGGTTATGGTACGTGTTAAAGGAAAATTTGGGTCTCAACTCAAGAATTTAGTAAGAATTTGTCAAATCCATAAGATATTTAATACCGTCATATATATATTGCCATCAATTATAGTCTATGATTTTATGTCAATTTGTGATCGAAAGTTGGAAACTTGACTTCTCAGCCTCGTCTATAGAACTCATCAGTTTCTCTTAACGAGGTTATTTGTTCTTTGTTGCTACCCTTCTGCGTGAAACGTTGAGCCTTGCTGGATAGTTCATCTGATTGGTAGTAGTGTTTAGTGGGTGAGGGACTTAATTTGCAGCCCTTGAACCTGAAAGCATATTATTACAGCCTATATTAAAATGTTGCCAGTTGGTATTCAGTTTCCCTTTAATTTTTCCTTCTCTAGTCTTGTTTGGCTGAAAAGAGTACAAATGGACATTTGCTCATTGTATTGTAGCAGAAGCTGAAATAACAAAGGCCTGCTGAAACTCTAGTTGCATTGTTGCCTACTGTTATAGATACATACAAAACTTATATCTTTGGCGACACTTATCTCCTCAGATATGTCCTCTGACTAAGTAACCTATGGCAATAACGTAGAAGTTGCATTCTGTATGAGATTTTTGCCTGGAATGGTGCAAATTGTGCTGGTTGCCAAGTTGACATATCCAATCTAAAAGATTTTGCATTTGGCCACATTAAGAGGCAGGCTACTTAGGAAGGAGATAACTGCTGAAGACAACATCAGTAGAAAATTCTCTTTGTTTTTCAACCCTGACCTCCCTCTTGTGGAAGCTCAACTCAACATCCTCATTCTCTGTGCACGAAATGCATCCATTATTGTGTGCTTGATATTGATGTTGTTGTGTTGGATAGGATTGAATATGCATGCACGATACCAGAAATTTCTTAAACTGATAATAAAATATTCTGTTGTCCTCTATTTTGTAGCAATCATTGGCAACAATCTTGCAAGATACTGGCAGCTTCTCTCCGCTGTTCTTCAGTTAAGGTTTTGGGAAAATCAATCAGGAATTTGACACGAAGATCACCTCTTGTCCCATTCTTTTTGGCGTTTGGCATTCCTTGACCTTTAATAACCTTCTCATATCCATGGTGTATTACTGTATTCTCAAATGACAGAGCCATATTTTCCCCTCCCAATAGAGGGATTGGTATGGAGCAGCCTGTAAGTGCGTCCACTAGAGGAATCTCAACACATAATTCCAAATCATCGCCATCTCTGCTATACAAAGGGTGTTTCTTTTCATCAATCAAGAATATTACATCAGCAGGCAGGTATCCAGGTTTCTCATCACCCACTCCTTCAAATGTAATCCTTGTTCCTTTTCTCCATCCTGGCTTTACCTCAATTTTTAAGACTTCCTCCTGTTGGACAATTACCCTGTTGCAAAACTAAGTTAGAAACTCTCTTCTTAGCAGATATCATACAGAACAACATTGAATTTCTACACCCTATCATAAAAGTAGTTTCCTAATTACAGCAATCTTAGAAACACTGTGAAATCATTTGACAGAAACATACCCAGGAGGATATTTGATGACATCTCTGCTAATTCTAATCTTCTTTTTGCATCCAAAACATAAGTCCTCAAGTGTGCAATGTAGCTTTGTCTCAACATCTGGGGGTTTCTTTCTAGATGTTGTCTGTGAAAATACGATAGGTGTTGTGGATCTATGGCTCAGATTGCTTGAAAGAGAGATTCCAGACATATGTTCGGTGCTCCCTTTTGTGCCTGTGTCATATCTTGGAGAGGCGGCATGGCTTGTTAACTCAGGTTCAGAGATGTCCAATGTTTTGTTCCTTGACAAAGAAGCGGAGGAACTCCTTTTGCTCATCATCCTTTTGATAGATGATGCAGCAATTTCTGTAGCACTCTTTCGACTAGAATTTCTTGATAGAGAACTTGGTGTTGTGCATGATCTCCTGCTTCCATTTCTTGACATAGGCCTTGATTTTGGTGTTGGTGTTTTGGATAATCTACTTGCTGCCCTTGACAAAAATTTAGGACTCCAAATATCTTCATCCACTCTCTTATTATCAAATTCCTCGGACCCTGGGGATGTTGTCGGATTCTGCATGCATAAAAAACCATGAGAACAAAACATGATGCATACGAACACTGCTAGAATCTCACATATACAGCAATTAATGTTACATGTTTTGTTTAAGAAAATGAAGTTGAGATTACCCCGGGGCTTTTCTTGTCATGACTCCGTTTGGATATGAGCGATTTGTAAGCCTTGGTGACGTCTTTCAATGGCTTATTTTTTGAAATCTTGAAGATGTTGGTCAAATCCAATGGTTGGGAGCGTGGGCCGTGTCCCATTGGAATGGTTATAGAGAGTTTTGGAGGATCAGAAGGAAAAAAAATGATATGTAAGAGAGGGATGAAGAAAAAGACAAGACAACAAAGTTTACACCAAATCAAGAGGAAGAGATGAGCTAAATCAAAACAAACGTCAAGAAACGTTTGAACAGACAACTTTGGTTTTGTTATCTGTTTTCATGTTACGTCCACTTTTCCTATATTTAGTGCCATCGGACGTAATAATCTCTATTCAAAACATAACTTGTTGTAAACGAACTTCTAATTAGAATTCTTGTTACGGTTGTTATCAACTAACTCATTTTAGTATTATATTCGTTTGGCTGCTTTACATAAATAATAAATAATAATAATAATAATAATAATAATAATAATAATTATTGTATCGTATAATGATAATAATAATTGTATCGTATAATAGTTCAATTAACCATTGATTTACCATGAACTCGATGATGAGTCTCAACTATCTATGAATCGGACGATCAATCTATGTCACGATCCATGAATGAGTTACTTTTAGATAGGACGATTAGGAAAGTGACTTGATTGGTCACGAGTATCAACAATTAACCTTAATGTTGACTATTTCGGAAATAAATGATGATTACCTATAATTGGACGGCGGTTACTATATCATTAATATCTTAATGATTGAATGTTTGACTTTGGCATCAGATTATCTTCTGCAGATAACTTCTGAACCGTTTACACAAACAGCTTAAACAATCAGTTCAACTTATCACTCAACTTGCAAACAATTTTCGAATTTTAATGACTCTTCCACACTTACATCATTGACCTCTACTCCTTCCTCCGAAATAATAATATATACGTCAAATAATTTTTTTTTTCAAAAATACAAAAAATGGCATAATGTGGAAAAGCTCGCACACAACATTTATGATCAATGTTTTGAAGATATATCGTTTATGCGACAATACCATATTCGGAAGACTATGATGACCATTTACTTTGACATAATTCTTTGTGACAAAAACAAAATTCTTGAGCCATGGACCAACACTTCACATTAATCATGTTTTTAATTTAATTTATATGTGAAATTAGTTTTTTATTTATTTCTAACTTAATATATTTAAATTTTCAACTTTGAAAATTAATAAATATAGTTATTTCAATGTAAGACTTTTTTGTGTGTGTGTTAAACCTATCAAACATTTGTCACTTCATTACTTCACATGTATCTAGAATAAAATTATTAGGTTGCAAAGCATTTATTGATTTTACAATTCTGTTAGTTTGTTATCTGTTGAAATCATACAATAAGTTTGTAGCCTTTCCTGACAATGCAATTAAATAAAATTGTATTAAAAATACATATTATTGTTTGATAATGCATTGTCCTACTATTTCATATGGAATGATATTAAATATAATATTTATTGATATTGTAGAATTGTTTACATAGATAGTACTTTCTTTTTAAAAAAAAATCATTTAAATTATCAAGAGATTACGAAAGAAAGCAGAAACTTCTAAACATAAACATATACAAATATAATTACGCTAAAATTAAAAAAAAATTACAACAGTTCTATCTGATTTAACTTAATTTAATTAAATATTTAAAGTATTTGAATACTGATAATTTTAAATAATTAGAGCTTGTTTTGTTAGGCTTAAAGTGCCAAACTGCTGACTATAATTGACGTTTAAAATACGAAGGGCTTACAATATTTTGCTTATAAAACACAAAGACTACGACTTATGTCGTGAATGTTATTTTCATGCTTTATCTTTATTGGAAAATAAATAAATTATTTTGTTAATTTCTATTTTAGTAAGTAAAATATGAATCAAATTGAAGTATTTTAATCCAAAAAAGTTGAATTCAATGGGTCTAGATAATTTACTACAACACTTTAATTAAGACAGCTACTTTTTTTATAGATACGGGTCTTCATGGAAATCATTGTATAGTTATTATATATGTTTTTTCTACTTTGTAAATGAATTTTTTGTCCCCACTATAATTAATTTTTTATAATGTATGCTTTCATATATAGTATTTAAATGTTCCTACCGTAGGTCGATAATAGTATAAGATTCACTTTCCTCGTTGCATGTCACATACCTTTTAAATTAGTGCTTTTCTTTAGTCAACTATTAATTAAAAATAAATATATATGTTAATATAATTTTTTTATAATATTTTGAAACAGAACACGTGTTATTTTCTCACTAAGTTTATAGTACATTAATATAATAACAAGTAAATAATGAATTATTAAGAAAAATGGATTGTTTCAAAACATTATAAAAAATGTGTCAAAATATATTTTTCTTCTTTAGTTGTATTGATTTATGAATAATTTTTTTTACAAATATAATAAAGACTAGATAAGCTTTTGGTATTCTCAAATATTATATTTAAATTGGTATTTCTAAATAAAATCAGTGATTGAATCCTAATATTTAGTAAATAGTTTAATTTGGTTGTTAAATCACCATGCTATTTTTAATAAATAATTACATAATAGTTATAATTAAATGCTTATAAATATACGGGAGTGTTTAGTGAGGTTGTCTTGTTTATTAATTACGTTCAGATTAAGAACAAGTGAATAATATGTGAGTATTGTTAAGAGTTTTAATAATACAATAAGTTAAATAACAAAATATCATGCTATGTAATTATAAGCAAATGAGATTTTAAAAGTCAAATTGAGATTAAGTTTATACCAAAATTGTTTAATTCCCAAACAAACTAAATTATTCTTATAGATATTAATCTATGAAACTTAATATACTTTAAAAAAAGTATTATATATATATATATATATATATATATATATATATATTAATAGTGAGTGAGATGTAATAATAGAAAGATTTATGTGATAGGATGAGAATAAATAATTTACATAAATACTGATATCTAAGAAAAATTAATTAAAAAATATATTTTTTTTAATTATTTAATAGATAAAAAAATCAATTAAAAATACATAAATAAATATATGAGGAACCTGAAATTTAAGTAGATCTTGTTTTTATCTTATTTAACAAAAAAAAATATTCAAAGATTTTAAAATAAAACTCTTAAAAAATTAGTCTCATTTTAAATGATTAATTAAAATAAGCATTAGTTCATTCATAAATGTAAGTTAATATAAAATATATATAAATATAGTTTTATCTAGAAGGTTGATCACTTGACCATGCTTTTAGTAGCTTAAATTTATATGCATTTGTTTTTTATCTTCTAAATAAAACAACAGTCTTTCAAGTATTAAGAAAAAGGTTTAGTCTTTAAATACTAAATATGGAAAAGTAAAATATTTAAAAAAATACTTGGTATTAGTTCGTGAACAGTAATAAAAAAGATATAAGTATTTTAAATTTGAGATATTAAAATAATTTTTTTAAATTTAAGAAACTAACATCGAGTCTCTTATAAATTTAAGAAATTAAAAATAAATAAATCCGTATAAGATTGCGCTAATAAACCTTTCAAACACGTGCATACCATTTTTGAATTTCAACCAAAACTCTCCAATAAATAATATTTTTTGAAGAATCAGTTATTTAATATTAATGTGATTTCTGCAATAAAAAAACGAAATGTGAATCAATCACTAATAGAAAAACCAAATCAGATAGTATCAACATTATTACTTAAAACAAAACATTTAATGTAAAGTATCAGAAAAAAAAGTCAACTCAATAATCCTCTGTTTTAAAAATCATGCAGTAATCTTTCATATTTCAAGTCACATCAAAGTGGCATTTTAAATTTATTTTAATGCAATATCAAACTATATTTACATTAGCAATTTTGTTAGTTTATTATTTCGGTGTGATGTTTTGGATCACAGTAAAACACTCATCTCTTTTATTATTTAATGTTATTTGGAGTGTTTTTAGTTAGATCTTTCTATATTCTTAATATATGAATTTTAAATCGTGTGACACCAGCTGTAAAAAATATTCTGACATTCAGATAAGTAATTTAATTTAGTTAATTAGATATTATAATAAAATTTTAAATTCAAAATAAGCGATTAGTAAAAAAGCGAGCGATTCAGATTGAAAATGAACAATTTATATTATTCAGACAAGCGGTTCAGACATTTCAGGCATTTAGAAATAAGAAAGACACGTGAAAAAAGTTAATCTCTCAGTCCTACACAAATTCCTACTGAAACACTTAATAAATAAAAATTATGCTAAAAATTACTTAATTAAGGTTTTAGATTCGATTTATTTTCTGACCAACCAATTTCTTAAGCTTTGTTCACTTGAATAGATTTGTGAAGATAGTGATTGAGGGGATTTGAGAGGATTTGAAAGTAAATTTTGTTGTTGTTTATTTGAGTGAATTTGAAAGTAAGTGAGAGTGGATTTAAAAGTAAAATTGATGAGAATTAGTGTAGAATTTGATTGATGTGACAAATTAAAAAATTTACTTATAAATTCACTCTCACTTATTTTCAAATTCATTCAAATAAATAATAAAAATTATCTCAAATTCACTTGAATCACTTCAAGTGAACAAAACTTTAATGATAATTAGATTTCCATAATATTTGTTTGAAGTACTGTTCACAAGAGAGGTATTCCAAAATATCATTCTCACTTTTGAGATAAAGTGAGTGGTCATAATTTTCTTGTAACATGATTCCTTTCAAACACACTACATTGGAATAAGTTGAAAAAACAAAGACAGTGGCATTGTCGAGAACACATAGGAAAGGTTAAAGAACATGTGTTTTACTGAAAGAAACGAAAAACACAGCAGCTTCATTGAAATCTGACCAATGGTTGGTTCATGTCGGCAAACAATAGAAAGACGAGTACAATTCTTCCACCATTGACAATTCTATCCTTCCATAATCACACTCTCCTTCTCACTCATCCATTGACTCCAAGGAACATGCTCACCCCACTCATTCAATCATTACTTTTCATCCTCTTTTTTCTAATAAATAATTATTAAGTTAAATAGTTAATACTTTAAATGATGTTTTAAATTTATGTTTGAGTTATTATATCATATTATTTAACACGTTTTAATTTAGAAATTAGTCTACTATCATCTACCACGTAAAAATAATTTAATGTTCAATGATTTATTTATTTATTTTAAAATAT